GTATAACTCTTGATTATCCCAATCCCCAATATCAATCGGCTGTTACGAGTATCACAACCGGCTCTCACCGCTTTCCTTCTCCTTGGCCACGAGGTTCCTCTGCGCCTCCCACACTTTATCCCAGATGCGCATGCCGCGGTCCCACAACTCGTCCTCCTTGTCGTCGACCACGTTGCCGTCCGCGGCCAGCCACCGGACATACCTCTCCCCGCGGATGGCGCCCCGACTGCCCTGGACGGGTTCGTCGCCGGCGAGGAAGCTGCCAAAGGGAGCCAAGAAGCGCTGGATCACACGTTTGTCTTCCTGGGTGAAGTCGGCGCGCCAGCCGCTTGCCCAAAAGATGGGGGCGTCGAGGCCGTGGCACACCCCGACCGAGGGGGAGACCCAGCGGTCGAGGTTCTTGGCGCGCCAGGAAATCCGGTATCGGTGCACGTTGGTAGGCGGGAGGGGTTTGACGACGGCACCGCCAGGTCTCTGTTGTGGCGGGTTGAGCAGGATGTGCGTGAGACCCCGGAGCGAGGCGTGCACCTGTGCGTCCGCCACGATCTGGCTAAACACCTCGGCCCACTCGGCTGCATTGGTCGAGTTAGTAGCTGGTATCGTGTACAGCGGTAACAGCGCCTTGACCACGTGTGCGGGATAGTAGTTGGCTAACTGGGTCATGAGTCCCTGGTACGACGAGGGCGGGTTGACGATTTTGTACAGCTCTTTCTCGTCGCAGACCTCGCCGAGAAAGACCGAGATGTTGTTCTCGGCGAGGCGGGTGGTGAACGAGCCCGAGTGTAGTGCTGAGAGGAACGTGCTGGGGACGAAACAGTCGTCGGTCGACGCGCGGAATGTGTGCATCTTCATCTTGGCCAGGGACGCGATCAGGTCCTTGGCCGGAATTTGGCGCATGCGCTCGAGTTTCTCTTGCGGCCGGCTCGATGATGGGATGCCAAAGATCGCGCAGAGGTCGTTGAACTGCTGGGTCAGAACCGGTGAGGTGGTCGGATTCGGCTGGATCGCCACCGCGTTGGACCACAGGTACACTCTCCTGATCAGTCTCTGCTCCGGAGGCAGGAGAGTGTCGTAGTTGAGCTGGAAAAACGTGCTGTTGGCGCCGGCCGACAGGCCCCCCACGGTGATGTTGGATGCGTCGCCGCCAAACAGGTGGATGTTCTTCGCCACCCATTCCAGCGCACACCGTTGGTCCCACAGGCCGTAGTTTGATGGCGAAGCGTCTTCCTGGAGACTAGCCAGTTCGGATCCAGCCAGGAAGCCGAACAGATTGAGGCGGTAAGTTGGCGAGACGATGATGCGCGGTGTGGTACTGGCAATCAGGTCGAACGGGTCCGTGTCGTTCTGCTGCAGGGCATCCCCAACCTGGAGCCAGCCGCCATGGATGTGGAACTGGACAGGCCACCCTTTCTTGTTCGGCGGAGCTGAAGCCGGAACCCAAATGTTCAGGTACAGGCAGTCTTCGTCCTGCTCATTCTCGACAGGCGGGGCGGCATTGGGATTTGCGATGGCGATTGAACCATGGTCATAGTGGGGTTGAGGGCAGATGGGCCCAAAGCGTGTGTAGTCCCCCGGTGCGCCCTGTGAGCCGTTGAACGTAAAGTCCTGTGGCAAGGCTTGAGGTCGACGCCATCGACGGGAACCCGTGGGCGGCAGCGCGTAAGGGACTTTGGCGAAGCGGTATAGGACCGGTTTTCCTGCCAGGTCCCGCTGCTCGAGACCCTTGAGTGAGCCACGGGATGTCTCAAGGATGTAGGGATGCGAGGTTGATTCTGTTGGACGCATTGTGATCTTGTACTCGATATGTCCTGTGCTCTTTCAGGTCGGTGTGCTTTCTCGCAGAAGATACCAACCCAGAGATCCAACAATCTACTCTAGGTATGAACCTGAAGCACTTTCTTTACTGTCTTAGTGATCGCTGGATGGCGAGTCCTGTGCAGATATTCCTTCCTCGTTGTGGTCCCTCTGGCAAAATCTAATGGCCGTTATCCTGCTAGATTTTAGTCACCCAACGGCAGAGGAAAGCGATGGAGGTGGAGATAGAAGGATCTATCAACTTGTCCCCATCCCCATGATGGAGCCGAGGACGACAGCAATTGCGACGGGCGTTGATCTCCATCGGTAGTTGATTTAACCCCGCCGATAGCGGAAGGGGGAAGAGCGGAGCCTTTCCGCCGGCATCAGCACCGAGGCTCCGGGGAAGTCGAAGTTGCTTGTGGGGGAAGCATTTACTTGTATTCCTCGATGTTGTCTTCATCTTTGATGAAGACCGAGTACAGTATGGCCGAATTTCCCTGTATTTGGCAAAGTCCATGCTCTTCAGTTGAGTAAAGCCGATCCAACAACAGACAGAACAATGTGATGTGTCACGGGTGCATCGGTCTGGAACGCCTTTGACGAGAGCTATCATCTTGGCCATCTCACCAGAATGCACACTGGCTGGCGCTGAAAGCCATCAAGGTGTTATGCCCGGCTAACTTCTGTCTCCAGGTTTGAGCAAGGAAGAAAAACATGGTTGAGATGTACAGGGGAACAAACATCCACACTGGCAAAGAATTGTCATGCCTGTTCGTAAATCAAAGTCGGGTAACAGGAGCGGCGAGCTGGAGAAACATCCTTGTACTCTAGATACTCTGAGGTGAGGTCTAGCTGCAGCAAACCCATAAGGCTTGCAGTGGCCGCACCTCGCAATCTTGTCTACTATCGCTCCTGCATAGCACGCCAAAGCAAGGTTCGCATCGCATGCACGTTTGTTCCACATTGGCCTTTGATAAATTGACTTGGGGCTTGATAAAAGACGTCATGGCTTTGGGTCCATGGGCCTTGGGGCGCGGCACGAGCGGGTGGCTTGATCGGTACGAAGATGAAGTCACAGTGGCTAAAGAACAGCCACATGTGGGTATATGCATGGGCCGCTGCGGAAATCGTTACTGGTCTCGCCTGAAGCTCTGATCGAGGACCAGGCTGATCATGTATCCAACCTCTTACTGCGTCGTGCCATAGAGACAGACAGTGATATTCCTGTTCCGATTTCCCGAACCCAAGAGGGTCTGGAATTTTGTCGATGATCCGTGGGACAAATTAAGATCAGCGGTGAGCTGGCTGTCGAGGGAGATCATCAGGCTATCAGCTTCTGGACCGAGGAGATCCCGGGCTCGATTGTGACGATCCAAACAGGTTGAAACAGGCTCAAACGCTTTCGATTATTGGCCGGGATACAGGTCTGCACATGGAAAAGTCAATAAAACATTGTGACCAGCTATTGGATTTGACCTCAGCATTGGATCAAGTGAGAGCAGGAAGGTCGACTGACTTGCCGCCTGAGAGATATTTTGATCGTGTGAGGCTGATGGTCATCTTTGGGCCAGGTGACGGCGGGTTCCAACTGTCACTCGTAGGCCATCACATAGCCGCCGGAAGAAGCACCAGGGCGGGCGAGCAAGGGCTATTTCAAGCAGCTGTAGATAAATCACTCGAAACGGTCCAATGAACAGATGGAGTAGGGACAATTAGATACAAGAAAAATCGTGCCCAACAGATGAGGCAAACGGTTCGCAAATGACGAAACAGATTCGACGAGGAAGATGTGAGTGTGGACTGATGTGATACGTTCCAGATGCGTCCGTATCTCCTTTGCCTGGTCGTTGTGCTCGGGAGGCCAGATTGACACCCAGGGAAGTTTCCATGGTTAAAAGCCAGGCCTAATCGAGCCCCAACAATCGAGTCGGACCTTGTTAAGTAAGCCAAGGAGAGGCCGACCACCGCCACCGGTTAAGCGGGGGGCTTTGACCTGCCCTAGCCTACCTAGGCCCTTCGGTACGTGTTCGGTGCCCAGGCACCTGTCTGAGGTCAGTGAGCTGTCCCTCGTGGGATGGTTCGCCTAGGCTTCAAACAAAAGGCAACCAACGGAATTTGACCAGGAATCTCATTTCTGTTCGGGATTGCTGGGTATGAGGAATCTATCACTGTCCTCGACAACGTCTTCATAACCTTAGAATGAAGGCAGAGTAACACGGGCAACAGAGCCAGTCACCCAGTGACCAAGATTGGTATGTGAAATATCCCATGAACCCGCCTAGGTAAAGATAGGGCACCCCGTACCGAGCACCCAAGCACTTGTTTAGGTATCCGCGGAGCATTTAAACCTGTAGGTCAAGGGCGCAGGCGAAACTCTGCCCCCATCGGCGCCCCCATTTGCCTACTTGTATTTGCCCCTCCGACTGCCCCCTTCCACCCCTTCTGACCCAAGGACTTGACCCGCGGCTCCCCTCCTCGCCAATTATTGGCCACTCAAGGTCTCAGTTGCTAGCACTTCGGCTGCTTGTGATCAACTGTGCACGCCTTTCCCTTTTCTTTCCCTCATTTCATTCTCTCCCTCGTTTGCACTCCCCTTCGTTTTCCCCATCCCACCAACCTTCTCAAAACTGCTTCCTGTCCCTCTCTCACAAACAACAGAGGGAAACTCGCCACAGCTTGATCGACTTGTGAGTGTCGACTCACTTGTCATCAAGCATCTCTTATCACTCTTCTACATTGAAGACAAGGCCTGCACGGGGTTAGTCATCTCTTTCATCCAGTCCTCTTTCCCGCTTTACCCGCTTGGCTTTCCCTGTAACCTCAGCATCCTTTGTTCGCCCACACCGATTCATCCTCACCTTCACCTTTCACCTTCCATCTTCACCTTTCATCCTCATCCTCATCTTCTCCCTCAAACCTTCACCTCCCCCTCCAGCTTCACTTCTTCCTTGCCCTCGTCACTTCCTCTCCTTGAAATTTGCAGGACCATCCTGCTGCTTCTGTCACGTCGTCGAGACGGTGAAGGACTGCCGCGAGTGGGTTTGCTAATCAGGGTGGAAACAGGCTGAGACCAATTCAATCTCTCCTCAGTAGCCACCGCCTTTTCCAGCAAACACCTCGACCCCCAAAATACCCCTCGGATCCCAATATCCTCATCCCTATCGAATAAGTTATCGCAGCGTTGCTGCTCGTCGATTATCAACATGACAACCATGGTACGTGAAAGAGTTGGCTTTGGTTGGGTTCAGGTTAAAAGAAAGACACGGCTGCAAAAGAGTTGGACTCAAGATTATGGTGGACTGCACGCCTCTGTCTTATATTTGCTAACTTGCATTTTGCTAGGATTTGCGTGTTGGTAACAAATACCGCATCGGTCGAAAGATCGGCAGTGGCAGTTTTGGAGACATCTACCTGGGCACCAACATCATCTCAGGTGAAGAAATTGCCATCAAACTCGAATCTGTCAAGGCCAAGCACCCTCAACTCGAGTATGAAGCGCGGGTATACAAGTCTCTTGCTGGTGGTGTTGGAATTCCGTTCGTCCGCTGGTTTGGAACCGAATGTGATTACAATGCCATGGTTCTTGACCTGTTGGGCCCCAGCTTGGAGGATCTCTTCAATTTCTGCAACCGCAAATTCTCGCTCAAGACCGTCCTCCTCCTGGCCGATCAGCTCATCTCTCGCATCGAATACATTCACGCCAAGTCCTTCATCCACCGTGACATCAAACCAGACAACTTCCTGATGGGTATTGGCAAGAGAGGCAACCAGGTCAACGTGATCGACTTTGGTCTGGCCAAGAAGTACCGCGACCCCAAGACTCATTTCCACATCCCATACCGCGAGAACAAGAACTTGACCGGCACGGCTCGTTATGCCTCGATCAACACTCACTTGGGGGTGGAACAATCTCGCCGTGACGACATGGAGTCTCTAGGCTATGTCATGCTCTACTTCTGCCGTGGTTCTCTTCCATGGCAAGGTCTCAAGGCGGCCACCAAGAAGCAGAAGTACGATCGTATTATGGAGAAGAAGATGACTACTCCCACAGAGGTTCTGTGCCGTGGTTTCCCTAATGAGTTCGCCATCTACCTCAACTACACCCGCTCTCTCCGCTTCGATGACAAGCCAGACTACTCGTACTTGAGGAAGATTTTCCGGGATCTCTTCGTCCGAGAATCGTTCCAATACGACTACGTCTTTGACTGGACCGTCTACAAATACCAGAAGAATGCTCAGGCCATCGCCCAAGCTGCTGGCAACCAGACCACGGGGGAGGACGAGGAGAAGCCTCGACGTGGTGCCCATCCTGCGACAGCTGCTGCCACTGGAGCCCCTACCCCTCAACATGCCTCGCAGGCTGGCAAGCCTGCGGCTATTTCCAGCTCTCGACGCAAGGTCATCGAACGCGGTGCTAGCGGTAACGACCAGGGAGGAAGTGACAGGATGTGAGTACTGAAACCTCAAGGTTCCCATGTAAGGGATCTCCTCTGCGTTTTGCTTCGGTTTGCGTGGAGGTTTATCATGGCATCTGACTAATGCGCTAGTCTTCGACGTTAGGCTTCGTTCCGGTACAAGGATAACCACTGGCAACGGCGATTATCGTTGAAACGGAATGACGGCTTGGTGTTCTTTGCCAACTGACCTTGTTCCACCAACCTCTTCTCGAAGACCGCTGTCGGTCTTCCAGAACACAAAACAAACCATGGGTATGTCGGATCCGGCGCGGGGTTTGCTCTAGCACATGGCAGATCCGGACCGGGAATTGTGAGGACCTCACGGCAAAAACAAACTTTTTACCTGAATGGCTTTTACTCGGCTCAATTCCTACATGCACTACTTGCACGATTACCTACGACTTTGATGGGGCGTCGGTCAACCTTTGTTTGACGAGCAACTCTATGCATGAGACATCAGACCTAGACGAAAGTTTGGCGACATACGACACGGCAGCATCAGTATGATCAATTGCTGTTCCATTGAGACAGGATTGACGACGGACTCGATTTCACGATCGTCCTGCTCTACCACGATGGATCACCACCACCTCGACACGTAGACCTAGTTATTCCAGAATCACCACCGACCATCCCTCGACACCTCGGCACGTTTTCCTTTATTGTCTTGGCTTCACGCTTTATGCTCACCATTTCGAGTACTGCTTCAGAGGAAGAAGGGCATTGGGGATGGAAGAAATGCAACCGCAAGGGACGGCCAGCCAGTCCAGTCATGGCCAAGCGTTTTGATGATGTGCGGCCGGGGCTTCCGAGTGAGAGGGGAAGAAAGCAATCTTAAGGCAAAGATGGCGAAGGACTTGTAAGGGGCCGATTCTGGGGAGGCATATGAACAGTAACTCATTGCTCTGGCGGAAGCAACATAATTAGTGGCGATGCAAAGGAGTCTCTGCTCTGACACTCGACTAGCTAGTCCAATTCATATCAATGTGCTACCAAACGAAATGGAGGCGTAGTTTAGTCTCACTCTGAATCTCCTAGTTCAGCAGACGGCCACGCTTAGACTGTGTATGAGGGCGAAGCAGGTATATACTCGGTACAGGTATGGACACTCATTTGTATTTGCAGTGCAGTATACTTGATGTATTTGTAGGTACTTTATTCGGTAGGCACAGCGCTGTATAGGCCACGGGTGTGGTTACCCACCTCCCATATTACTCAGTCACTCACTTACGTTACAACTTTCCATTCGACACGCCTCTCTACGACATACATATCGACACTATCTACTTGTATTAGCCTCACAATGCTCCAGATGGTTCTTCCAGCCACCCGGATTAGTTACTCCCTGAACTTCTGGGGCTTCCTTTGTCGAGCCTAGTTCGTCTATCCTCGCTTACAAACATTCGTGATCTTGGTTACTTGGCAGCTGCGCCACTCAGGAGCTGCAATCACAGCAACCGGAGCAATCGCTGCTGGCCCTGGTGCCGACCACGCCGACCTCGCTCGAGAACGTCAAAGCTTCAGAGCCGATTTAACCCAAAGCCAGCGTGTTGCGACGGAGACACGTGAGGGTGAGCTTTGCAGCATAGCGATCAAGCCCCTCGGCCCCAGGAATGGCGTTCTGAAACACCACACTTTGTTCTCGGTACCTTGTAGCTGTTCCTCACCGACTTCCCCAGCGGAGTGGCACCTCAGAACCTCCTAGGTCCAACCTTCCAACACACCTCTCCTCGCCACACAGTTAACGACCTGTTGGTGAGTCCTGTCCCAGCAACTGCGCATACCTCGACCTTTGTGCCGAGGAAATAGTCCTGAAAAGGAGCAGCTAAAGAGAACAAAACAAAGCTGATTTTTACGTGATCCAGGGGTTCATTCGAGCCGGACGGGAAGCAGACGAACCCTGCGTTGCGCTCCTCAAAGAGTTCTTTTCTAGCTTTTTACCCGTGGCCCTTTCGCCACTGGTCGTATCGGAGTAAGTACCTATTGATGGGTGTTTTACAAGCTCTCTCTTTCTTGCCCTGTAGCGGATCCGCTGGGGCGGTGGGATGTCGCATACCCCCAGACTCAGCCTTGCGGGATCGAGGAGATGTTGAGGGGTCGAGGGAAACAAGTGCTTCCCAATATTCCTGGGAGAGGTGTTCGGGTGAGTCACTCTTTTGCTATTCTCCCCTTTCTCTACAATATCCTTCTGCCTGGTGTTATAGCTACTGCGCACGCTATATACATCGTAACCACCATTTTGCTGGGCAGTGACGTTGCGCTTCGTGGTGCCTGGAACGCCATCCTAGATGAATACAGGGGTATTGGACTCATTCGCTAATATAGAACTTTGTCAAAATCCAGATTTTCAACAATTTCCCCGGTGCAATCGCCGTCGCCCAGAATCAAGCTCTTGCTAAGTCTCGTACAAGGACAGCTGACTCGAGTCCTCTGATGCGCCAACGGAAGTAACTACGTGGTCGATTCAACAACAACGCGATGCTTGTGCTTTTTTTAGTTGTTACATTGTCAAATGCTCAAGATTGACTGACTGATAATACCGGCTTGCCCAGATCCGAGCTTGTTTGTCATCCTGAATTGACCAACCGTCGGCCAAATCCAATTCCAACCGCATCAAGCCGGGTCGTCCAGAATGCCTGTCGAACTGCGCAAACGCCCTCCCCCAAAGGAGCCAGCTGCCCCACCCCCGCCAGCGAAACGAGGGGGCAGTAGCAGCAGCAGCAGCACGGTGAAGAAGCTCGCCGGCAAGGCCAAAGCCGCCGTGACTGGGATCGGGTCGTCGAAGTCAACCAAAAAGAAGGCTGGGCAGGATGCGGCCAACACCTCTGCCGCCATTCCCGACCCCGTCCCAGCCACCGCAGGCGTCAGCGACGAAACCAAAGCAGAGCCGACAGCGAACGGGAGCGCCGTCCCTGCAAAAGCAACTGCCTCCGGGAAGCTGAGTGTGGGTGACAAGATCGACCTGGAGGGCTTTGGCGGCACGGTGCAGACGCACGACGGAACTAGCGTGACCGTGAAAGACTTGGTGGACAAGAGCGGCGCCGGCATCGTCATCTTTACGTACCCAAGAGCGAGTACGCCGGGTTGTAAGTTCAGTCATCTGCCTTTGCGTCATTTTACTTCCACTCCCGACAGAGACAGTAGAGAGGTCTGGTGAAGCTGGATTGATCAATTGATCGACTGATATTTCTTACTGTACAGGCACCAATCAAGCTTGTCTTTTCCGGGACAATTATGCACCCATCACGGGTGCATCATTCGCTGTGTATGGATTGAGCACAGACAGTCCCAAGGCGAACACGACGTTTGCGACCAAGCAGAAGTTGCCATATCCGCTCTTGGTAAGTCCCTTCCGTACCACTTTCGATGTCCACCAATTTCTTTGGAGTACTAATTGAATGCTAGTGTGACCCCAATGCAACTTTGACCTCCGCCATTGGCATGAAAAAGCCAGGGCCCGGCAAATCTACCACCCGCGGAGTCGTCGTCATTGACAAACAGGGAACACTCCGCCTCTGGGAGCAAGCCGGCCCTGCCAAGACGCTCGAAGTCGTTTTGGAATATATCAAATCTCGGGGTACGACTGAGACGGACGCACCCGCTGCAGTGGCCGCACCACCTGCAGATGAGCCAGTCGCGTCTGAGGAGGCAGCGAAGCTTGCAGACCCAGACACCAAAATGGATGAGGTGCCGCTTGTGAGGACTCCTAGCAAAGCGGAGCAGGAGGCCGCTGAGACAGCGGCAGAGGTGGGCGAAACAGCGGCGAAGATCGATGCTGCCGAGGAAGAAGCAAAGCCATGAGAGGCTCTTCTTTGTCTTGTCCAGAATAGCAGAGGTGCAGGACTGTTGGTTTGCTTAATGTGTCCTTGCAGCGTTGATTATGATAGTTCCTTGTCGGCGTCCCAGGCGCATTCGGTGTCAATGAGTATTGTTTCTTGTCCTGAATGTTTTGTCATCGTCTCCTTCAAATGTTCCCAATTCCCGGATACCAAGCTCTCCCAATCCTCTGGATCTCCGCAATGAACTTTTTGCTTGTGATTTCCGGGCTCTTCCCTCCGTAGTTTGCTATCTGCAAGGGCGTCCTATCATCAGGCATGTAGAATGGATTCAGCATGAGATGGATGTATGCGGTCTGTACGGCACGGAAGGCTGGTTTCAGATCTGCGTCTCTCAAGCCCACAGCTGCAGGTGGGAATCGTCTCTTGTCTTTTGCCTGTTCCTTCCCACCGTCTTCGTCGGACGAAGAGGACGGAGGTCGCCCCATCATGTCCACCACGATGATGAATTTGATCCCCGTATTCGTGAGCCAGCCGTAGCACGAGAGCCGGTCATCGATGGCCTGGAGCAGCCCCAAGTCGGAATCGAGCAGTTTGGTGGTGCGAGCCCGCAGGTCGAAGATGTCGAGGCACGAGTTGAGGAGGAAGAGGAATTCGAGATCGGCGTTGGCGGCCGTGTCATGGGGAGGAAAGAGGGAGATGTGGAGAGGTTGGTCATGTTTGCCAATGACGCCGATGCATGCTATCGACGGTGACGAGTTGAGGGCCATGGAAGCACGACCCGTTGAGACAGATGTTGGGGTGTTAGAGAAGAGCAATCTTCCATGTTCAAGCAGATAAGTTGACAAGTCGCATGGGAGACTCTTCCCCAGATATTGCCCAATCAGGCAGGCCGATCTCGCTGTCCTGCCTGGTACGCATTCCAGCCAATGAACGAGCTCGCAATTCGCCGCGCATTTCGACATCATAGATTCTCTACCCGACGACACACAGCAGTTTCGCCTCTTTCCCTTCCTCGACGCCCTTCAAGTCTTTTCCCTTCAACGTCCAATTCTCCCCTCTCTTTCATCACCTGCGACATTGCGGAGCAAGATGATGTCTCTATCGAGGACGGTCGCTCCTCGAGCGCTGCGAGGTAAGCAGAATGAAGCTCCCTGGCCACAAAAACTCCCCGAAAGTCTCGATTGACAAAATCAACTGTACAGCGTCCAATGTCCTC